AAATCCCTTTTTAAGCTCTGGGCCAAAGTTGTTGTGATACAGATCTGGTTGTTCCCTTCCCCTGAGTTTGGCACATTCTTATACTGGTTTTGGTTCAGACCTATTTCTAGTAGTTGTCATTGAATTAAAGGAATGACCTGGAATTTCTGGAACCCAATCCTGAAAGTTCCAGAAATGTCATGAGTGGACATTTCTACCCATAGAGAGTCCAACTGAAGCCAGTGTGGAGTCATTCACAAGTCATGGGCCTAAAAATAACATATTGCTATGCAATAACCATGGGCCCCAGCCAGCACAGGATTAGGCCTTCCAAGTCTTGGATACACAGGAGAGTTTGGCTTGTTTTGGAAGCCATCAAACAAAGCAAAGGATAAGATCCAGGGGAGTTAAATTCAAGGTAGAGGCACAAGGAGAAGCAGGGTGACGTAATACAAATGAATTATTTGCTTTTCTGTTGCCTGGTCCCAAAAACATGGAAGTTCCAATTCTGGACCCTGAAGTCTAAATGAGTTTCTACCACTCCTGCTTTAAACAAGGGGTAACTTCCTAGTAGGCTGATATGATGGGGAAAAAAATACAGGACTATGTAGCACTATTCATGATGGGAAAAGGAATTCCTGTCTAATCCAGTATGCTGGATACCCACTATTTTTAATATTAGAAGATTTATCTGGCATTGCTGGGGTCCTTAACTCAATTAATTTTTGATTTTTTGGAAAATAAAATTATACATGCTTCAATTAAATCATTTCTCTCCAGTGGGGCTGGGGATGAGGGATTCAGTTTACAGGCTGCCCCAGGGAGAGAAGACAACCCCAGCCCTCTCTCACTGCAGCAGGTTGGGGCCAGATGAGAAGCACCTTTCCATGGCTGCTGCAGCTCCAGTGAGAACAGCTGTGGGAGGGGTGCATGTCCCCTGGCTGAGGCAGGTCGAGGTTCATCTACCTTTGGAGCACAGGGGGCAGAGTGAGGAATGCAGCAAACTCTGCCCTTTCCCCTAGCTCCCTGATGAAGAGGAACAGCCAGTATCATCCCTGTATGAATTGGGGTGGGAGGGAGAGCTTTAGACTCCCCCGCCATCCCTAAAGGATGTTAGGGGCATCCTGCAGCCTGATTTGGGGGGGGGTGGCTTCATGGGCCACCCCCCCAGCCTTCAGGACCCTGCCCCGGCTGTCGGGGAATCAGCCCTCCTCCAGCAGCCCCCTCCACTGCCCCCCTGCAGCCATTGTACTAACCCATGAGCTGGCAGGCAAGAGGGGGCTTTCTCGGTGCTGCAGCTTCCCCCCATGGACACTCCCAGTATCGCCTCCCTCCTCTCTCTGCCCCCCCTTTCCATGTGCTGGAAACCAGCCCCATTCCCGGCACTTCCTGTTTTCCAGGCACCACCGAACCCTGGCCCTGGCAAGGGGAAAGTGCCCCCCAAAACTGGTGCTCCTAGCTCTTACCTTTTAGGAGGAGATCTTGAACAAGTGCACTCTCTCAAATAGATAATACAGCCTTGAAAATGATTCTTAAAAGCTTAGGAGGTGCCAGAGCCGGTAAGTCCAGAAGAGCAGTTTAGCAGGAGTGATTCCTGAGCAGTTAACTTGTTATCACAGTAAAAGCATTTGTTAGATGGATACCATGAACTCGGTTCTGATCTCATAAATCTAATTTTACACCAGAGTATTTCCAGTGTTTTAAAACAAAGTTACCCCAGTTTTATAGTAGGGAATATGTATATGTGTGGCGGGGAGGGAGGGGGGAAGAGTAGCGAGTAGGCTTCACATGTAAAGAAGCAATAATTCAAATAATATGCACATACATGCCTATGTACAAAGCAGTTCTGATTTTCTTTCTGAATACCACATTAAAAATATACCCTGTTGGATTTATGACAACAGTATAAACCATTCATCTAAGAGATTTATTTTTCTTTTTAATACATTGGACTTTTTATAATAAACTTAGTGTGTGACATTCATTTGAAATAGAGATATAGAAATCTACCGTGGTGATAGATTAAACCATCTATATTAAATACATATATAAACAGGATTTTTAAAATAAAAAAAACTGACTCGGTAGATGAAGTAATAATTGATTTTTTTTTCAGTTCTCATACATATTCCAATGAGGCTATGTACAATAAGAATAGAATCAATCTTGTTTTTGGAAATGTAATTTTATTGTTAGTGTGGTGCTGGAGGATTGATCTCAGTATTGTATTGTGTTATTAGGAAGCTAGACTGATTGAATTAAAATGTTAATCTAAGGGATAAATGGAAAGCAGCAGTAATATTTTACATTTCTGCTGCACATACAGTGTAGAGAATGGTGAAATAAGGAAAATGATACAGAGAACTGTGCAAGTGACAGATACTATACAATAGAGATAATGAGCAAAACCAAAATACTTTATTTTATATGCGATTTGAAATTGAGATCAAACTCTAAGTAGTTACTTCAAGCGGCCAGTGTAGACAGCTGGCAAGTTTTTCCGGAAAAGTGGCTGATTTTCTGGAAAAACTGGCCAGTGTAGACACAGCCTAGGGTTTATTAAGAAACGGTTGAGAGGACGCCTGTGGACGAACGCACCTTCCAGGCATCGGTGCCCCCGTTCTTGCAGGCGCTCAGCAGAGATGTTCCGACCGGCCAGCTCAGCCGTCTCTGGAGCACGGCCTATGTGGCTGACTTCTGTGCTGCTCAGCTGGGTC